TTCAAACCCACCAGCCACTCCTCAGAAGGAAGGTTGGGCAATCTACTTCCATAGTAATACTGCCTCAGAAACCCAAGGAGGGGTCACTATGAGTCGGGTCTGACTCAATGGCACATAACAACAACAACAACAATTCTGGTTAGTAGTCAAATGCTTTAGGCACTATGCCACCAGAGCTCCATATGTATGTTGGGGGGTGGATATAGATATCAATAGATAGATAGATAGGTAGATAGATATAGACATCCTTGATGAACACCCTCCCTCCTGGATCAGATTATTTCTTTTACTGTGTATATAGCTTACACATGTTTCTATCATTGTACTTAAAACACTATACTACACGTGCTTAAATGTCTCCTTGTAGACAGAGCCTACATCTTATTCATCTTTGACTCTTTACAGTCTGTCAAATAGCAGACGCTCAATAAATTTAATCTACTGCCTTCTTTGCTTCCAGTGAAAGTTATAATTGAATTTCAAAGGAAATAAAAACAATCAAATCTGTGGAAGAAAGAAAAAACATTTATTCTCTCCTCAAAAAAACACTTATTCATATCCATGGGAAAGATATATAGAACCCAAATAAGCCCTTAACCAAAAATTAGAGCCTGGGACTTCAAAGCTAAACTGACAGGGGGAAAGTCCATTTTGTGGCTCAAAGGTTTGTTTATGCCCTATCTTGTCAAGGTAAGCCAATCTAGCTCCTTTACATCTGCTGCCACTATGCTTAAAACTCAGATCTGGCATATACAGTAAAATTTGCAAAAGCCAGAATGTGTGTAAAGCAGAAACGTGTCAGAGAAGAAAAAGTCAAGTATTTTCCACTAATAGAAAGCAAAAGAAAAATGGCAAGACTGTATCCTGTCAAAGGCAGAAAACTTGTGAGATACAGCAAAACAAGGCAGTCCACCGACTTCTGGCTCTCACATATTTCACTATAAAGGGCAATCTACTTCCATAGTGATACCACCTTGGAAACCCAAGGAGGGGTCACTATGAGTCAGGGCTGATTCCACGGCATATAACAACAACAACAAACCCGATTAAATATCACTAAAAGAGGTGGTTTTTTTTAAAAAAAAAAAAAAAAAAAAAAAACTTCTGTTTTAATAAGAAAA